TACCACGACACGTACTACCTACACACACACACACACACACACACACACACACACACACACACACACACACACACACACACACACATATATCTATGGGGCAAATCCTCAGCTGGACCTATGGAAATTACTCTGGCTATGGATCTGCCCCATATTTTTAATCTCTCACTATCTATATATGATGCTTTGAAACTTAAGAATACTGCTTTTTCCTCTTTGCATGTGTCTTTTCCAGATGTTACCATCGTAGGGGAACCTTTTTTTATTGGAACTTTCCTGTCCAAAATCCACATCGTTAGCTCAAAAATACAAACACAAACTTTCAAGACAGCAAGCTCCAAGAAGAGGTCTGCATTTCAAAAGTTAAAAATGTTAATAATGGTGTAAAAGCAGGTGTTTGGAAGCTGGACAGAATTTTAGATGTTAAAGAACATTAAGATATGTTTTCTCAATTACACACTACATACAATGTCAATGTGACTATTATAATGCTGACAGCTTATTCTCCACTCGCTTATGAAGCTGTCCGTTTATGAAGGGAGGATGCAGTTCTTGTGTCAATGTCTTGTGTTGCAGCAAATTAGTGCATTTACCTCATAATATACAGCTGAGACATTTGTTTGGCAGGAATACAAGATATGAAAACAAAGGAGATTAGTATGCTGTCATTTTTCTTTAGTATATATTTTTTACTGTAGCTGATGCCACCTCGAAGCTAGGAGAGACTCTATTCTGTTTCCATGGATTTACTCCATCGAGCAATGCAACATTTATTTTTGTTGGATATACGGGGGTGTACTAACCATTACAGCACAGGGTACGGATGCTAGGTTTTGACAGTATTTAACCATACATGCAAGGGAGCATTTGTAGGGCTTTGCTCTAGTTTTCTGATACTTTGCCATCCCTCTAGGCTGTATGTCTTCCTTTGTCTTGTGCTTGGGTGGTGCCCTTCCAGTCTCTTGCTTCAGCCTGGCTTGGGCTGAGTGCCAGAAATAAGCCTATCATCTCTCTTGACAACTGACCCTGTGTTTTCTGCACAACTAAAACTCCCAGTGAATGGGAGATTTCCCTGAGTAAGGATGACAGGCTTCCTTGTGAAATGCTTTCTCCTGGGCACCATCAAGCCAAATATATCCCAGAATTTAGCTTTTGTGAAAATAAAGCTTTCACCAAACCTCAGATCAAAAGAAACGTTTCCATGAACTAAAATTCATTCTTCCCGTTCCAGTGAAGACAACATGTAAATAAAAATATAATGGAATTTTTACCCCTTGTTCTTGGCAGATCTGGGTTAGCCTTTCCAGCTGCTCATCTTGAATGACCTTTGCCTTCTCATATTGGTGAATCACCATCTCCATCTCCACTTTCACTGGCAGCACATATGCTGGAAAAAACAGACAAGTGCTTGAAGAAATTCAGCAGCAGTTTAGCTTATCAGAGGAGATGTTACAAATCATCACGATCATCCGATCTGACTTTCTGTGTAACACAGACCATAGGATTTCACTCAGTAATTGCTCCATGAAACCCAACAATTTGTGATTGAACTATAGCATTTCTTTTGGAGAAGGAATTCGATCACCTGCAACCACAAGGACCCCCGATGTGGGTCATCAGCAGGGTTTGAACCTTGGATGTTAGATCCCCAGCTGCGAACCATCACTTGAGTTGCAGGCAAAACTAGAGCTGAAATGCATTTGCACTAATGTAGATCTATTCCAGCACTTATCACAGATCCTCTAACTGGCTGGTTAAGAACATTTTCTGCTTTGTATTCTGCATGTCCCAATAACATTTGAAAAGTGTGGCTGTGCACCAGCTTCTAGGAGAAGAGCTATTCCAGACCCTACGCGTTTTAACATCGACTCCTAAATACAACTGCAGGAAATATCTATATGAGGGAAATAGTAGACTAAGGGCGAGAGTTTCAAAGGTATAATCAGCATTTAGGCACCTAACTCCCTTTGACTTTCAATAGGAGATGGGCGCCTACCTGCCATTTATGCCTTTGAAAATCTTCACCGAGTCACAGTTAAGGCCAGCTTACTTTGTTCAGGATGACTATGCAAATTTTACTGTTTTTCTTGATGTTCTTCACAACCTGAATCAGATCCTGAACTTTGATCTCAGTACTTCACCATACAGGGCTGCACTCCCTCCCTTTGGAATTTGGGAGTCCTCAGTACAGTAACTCCTCATTTAATGTCGTCCCGCTTAACGTTGTTTCAATGTTATGTCCCTGTTCAATTAGGGAACATGCTTGTTTAAAGTTGTGCAATGCTCCCTTATAACGTTGTTTGGCTGCCTGCTTGTAAGATTCTGTGGCAGAGCAGCGACTTTACAAGGGAGCATTGCACAAGTTCCTTCTCCGCCTCCTCCTCCTCCCTCCCAGTGCTTCCCCCACCGCCAAACAGCTGTTTGGCAGCAGGGAAGTGCTGGGAGGGAGGGGGAGGAGTGGAGATGCGGCGCTTCCCTGCTCCTCCCCCTCCTTCCCAGAAAGTCCTAAGTGCCGCCAAACAGCTGTTTAGCGGCACTTAGGATTTTTCTGGGGAGGGAGGGGGGAGGAGTGGAGACGTGGGGCTTCTCCGCTCCTCCCCCTCCCTCCCAACACTTCATGCTTAGGACTTTCTGGGAGGGAGGGGCAGGAGCGGGGAAGCCCTGCGTCTCCGCTTCTCCCCCTCCCTCCCAGAAACTCCTAAGCGCCGCCCAACTGCTGTTTGGTGGCGTTTAGGACTTTGTGTGTGTGTGTGGTGGGGGGATGTGGCATGCTCCGGAGAGGAGGTGTAGTGGGGATGGGAAGAGGTGGGCCTGGAGTGGAGCAGGGACAGGAAGAGGAGGGCCTGGAGCATTCCTGGCAAAGTCCGAGCCTGTTCTTCTCCAGGGAAGCTGCCGCTGCTGCTTCAAAGGTGCTTCCTAGTGTCCTTGCCTGCAGCGGGCTGTGCCTGTGTGGAGTAAGCCAGGGGCACTTCCCAACCACAGTACAGTACAGTACTGTACCGTATATAATGCCTTTTGTCTGTCCCAAAAAAATTTCCTTGGAACCTAACCCCCCGCATTTACATTAAATCTTTGGGAAAATTGGATTCGTTTAACATTGTTTCACTTAAAGTTGCATTTTTCAGGAACATAACTACAACATTAAGTGAGGAGTTTTGTATCTAGAACACAAATGCCACTGTGACACGCTCTTTCTCTCACAGAAGCAAAGTGATCCTGCCTTGGCCTCATTCATTTTGCATTCCTCTTCCCTGCATCCTGGAATCCCATACACTGATAGCAGAACAGTTTGATAATAGATCTGACTGCCCTCCACCTATGCTAATAGCCCCTTCCTTGAATTCTTGTTTCCATGCTCAGACACTGCTCCTGTTCTCTGCAGTCTTAATTCTTCAAGCTGCTTGCCTCTCTCCAAGTGCTTCCCAATGGAGCTGTGTCCTGGAATCCTGGGCAAAACAGCCCTGGCACACAGCTAATTATCTCAAATTAATAGCAGAGACAGATTTGTGGAAAATTTTCAGTGGAGAACCTCCAAGATGCAAAGAAAGTATGAGGAATCAGATACAAAGTTATACCAGAGGCAGAAACTGAAAGATAGAGGATGCTGGAAGAAGGATTCATAAAGAAGCCATGGAATCAATTCCTATTCTCACCCACCAGTGGTAGTCACAACACTAAATACCTGTTCATTGCTTTTAAAATTTAGAGGAAGGAGAACAATATAGATATTCTCTAAAAGCAATTCCGAGGGCTACAATCCTTTTCTTAACCAATCAACCAATTCTCAAGACAGCAAGTTTAATCACCACTTACCATCAATAATTCTCTTAACTCTCCAAATTCTCAGAGTGATAATGAGACTGATGGCATCCCAAGGACTGCTTGGGCCATTTGCCACTGTAGAGGCCACCATTGGAGCCAAGGATAAAATTATTACAGCACCATCAAATACCTAAAATGAGAAAGATTTTTAATGAATAGCATTTTCAAACCCTTTCTAAGGGTCACAAATCCTCCCACCCTCCTTAGTGATCTTGGAAGGCTCTTAATGAACAAAAGTGGTGCAGTTATGATAAACTGTGTGTGTGTTTCAAGGTGAGGTGAGCAGGCCACAAAAAAGCTGCATCCTCTGCATGCTGTGAAGCAGAATTTCTTAGTGACTTCATCTGCAGTTTTAGAGGTGAGGGGGAGCCATGGCCAGGAAGGTCTGCAACTACTCCATTGGCCAAAATCTCCATGTAGAGGTGATGCCCCAAATGCTATTACAACCCAGGAGCTGTATTATTATTGATATTTATTACCAGCCACTAGGTGCTGTACAAACACAAAAGAGGACGTAGTCCCTGCCTGAAAGAACCTGCATTTTAAAAAGACGCAGGGAGAAAGAGGTGGAGTAAAGGGGAACAACAAACAAGTAAAGTGACCAGGTGGCACTTGACCACATCCTAGTAATTCAATGCTGGGGTGTTCTGTGTTTGTCAGAGATATAAAGACTATCCCCAAGGACTCCATGACTCTGATTATTAGCTGGCTAACTTCCTGTAGGTGTCCTGGCAAACGTGGATCTTCAGGAGAGATCTGAATAAGGAGAGGTTAGTGGCCACAGGGAATCAGCTCAGGAAGGGCAATTCCATGTGTGGGAGGCAATGTGGGAGAAGCCATGGAAAGGTTTGTGGGAGAAGTGGACAAATGGCATGTCAAGGCTGGGATCATTAGCAAAGCAGAGAAAATGGAATTGAGGGCAATGCTAATAATAATGCTTGGGCTGGCCCACCGCATCCTGGAAAGGCATAAGGCAGAATTCTGTGCCCCCCAGCCCCTGTGAAAAGTCCCAGTGTAAGGCCCATTTACTCATGGTTTGCACAGGGAAACAGGACGTACCCTACTATAAGCAACATGCATCAAGAACTGAACATAAACACAATCCACTGGAAAGACGCAAATAACAAATCGTAATCCTCACTGGCACCATCTGGAGGATGCTAGAATATAACACTGTTGAAATTGATGTTTTGCTGGATAACATCAAGTACCACCTGGCTTCCAACCCATACTGTATGTCTCACTTGGAATATGCAAGCCAGATAAATGGTTTGAGGTTTAGTTATGGAAGATTTGCACACTTCTAAATGTGGCTTTATATGTAATGAAAACCAAATTTCCTGTCCTCTCCCGTACAGCATTTAGTTTATTAGCTCTACGTTCCATTTAATCCCTGTTTCTATCACAGCAATCCTACCAATTACTGAAATTATAATGTACACTAACTACTGCTGCACTTTAGCTGTGTAAATTCTTAAGCAATTATCATTTTGTTAGTTATGTACATTAAGGCCTTATCTACTCTTGGTCAGAACCATAATAGCTACAAACACGCCTGAACACAATTATTGCTAGCAGGTTCCAGCCATGGTCTCCTTGACAAGTATGGACAGGAGTTCGTTGTCTGTTATAAAACTATGTGACAGATTATTTGTATGGTGGGGGATTAGTCTATGCCTTGTCTATACTACAGCCAGAATCAAGTATGGGGAGTGGGTTAGCAACACAGTTAAAAACTGTATTGCAGACGATACTTATTGTCCCAATAAATGGGCTATATACTTGGACTTTCAGAGTTTTTACTGGTTTCAGAGTAGCAGCCGTGTTAGTCTGTATCCGCAAAAAGAACAGGAGTACTTGTGGCACCTTAGAG